ATGAACTCCGGGGTGCCTAGCACAAAGGATGAAATTTTAATTGACAATAAACAATAGCAGTGTCTTAGTATCTGCAACACTCAATGGTAGCAAAGTAAGTACCGATAACACTGTGGGCTGGCTGAGAACCACGGAGAATTGCAGCTAGTCCTAGGTCACCAATTTTCACTTGTCCAAGATGGCCATTGACAAATATATTATCACATTTCAGGTCCCTGTGGATTACTGGTGGATCATGCCCATGTAAATAAACAAGACCTTGTAAGATTTGTCGAGCCCAGCTTTTTATCGCTTTTATGCTAACTTGCTTATATTTCTTTCGGTATCTGCACAAGTTACTAATTATTTCATTAAGCATATAACAAGTCAGAAAGATGCAGTAAACTTTCATGTTTATGACTGTCCACTAAATATGAATAGTTAAAGGTTCAAATAGAGTCACTTGTATCAACCAAAGTTCATGTGAAGACTGTGGGTCCTAAATTGAAAAGGAACACTTTTTTCTTTTGAAGATCACAACGGTCCTATAATGACTATTTGTGTTAATCATACATACATATCATGTAAAGATAAGAGGAAATCTAGTAATTATTCACATAGCCTTATTTGATTGCCATGAAATTCCATATTCCTATCATGGAGAGTTCAATGTGTAATATTCTGTAGTTGGAAAAGAAAATTACTCTCTAAGGGACCCGGATGTGAACATTTCTGTAACAAAGTTGAAGGCCTTGTTATCAACATCAATCCAAGAAGTATAGAATCGTATGATCGAATGATGCTTGAGGGTGCTGAGGAGATGAACCTCTGAGTAAAGTCGCTGCAAATCATCGGGCGTGCGAAGCGCCTCATTGAGTTTAACTTGGTTCCAAGCTACCTCTATTCCAAGGACCTCATCAATTGCTTTGTACACTGTCTTCATTGCCCCTTTTCCAAGAACATCTCCAAACTAATCACAGAAAACAAAGAACATGTAAGAGGTAAGATGTCTCAACCATTCCCATCTGATAACACATGTAAACCAAACAATATGAAAATAGGACTTGCCTCATCCTATTTACAATAATAATAATAATAATCGACATAAAAAAGGTACAAAAAAACATGTCCCTTCCAAAACAATATACACGTGAGACACAAAAATAAGAAAAAACAAACTATTTCCCTCCTGCACCAAACATGAATAATAATCCAAATGAATATAACAAATGCAACAAGTAAGTGAGAGAAACAGGGGATTTAGAACTTACCCTGCCATAGCGACCAGTTGGGTCAGTTTCTACATAACCATGTTCTACCTTGCAATCTTCTTTCTTCTCTTTCATGGAATACATGTCTAATTCTTATTTTCACCAACTTAATAATCACCTTCTATGCTTGTATTTTTTTCTTGGGGAAAGAAAGAGCGTAGAAGAAGCAGAAGAAAAAAAAGCAGAGTTTTTTTTTATGGTATTGTCCAAGATGGTATGATGCTAAATCCGAGATTTTCCTTCATGGTTAACGTAAGAGTTCAACCCAAAAAATAGCCAAAAAAGTGTGGAATAGTTAATACTTTGCATTATTGTACCCATCTTCTTCACAAGCGTGCATGTTATGTGGTGGTGGTTATAGTCTTCCTCAGCAATCATTTGAATTTTCCTTTTTCTCTGTCTTGTTCTATTTGAAAACGAAAAAGTTTGCAGGATTTGACAAGACATGGAATAAGAGGATACTGTTTATCTAGGAAGGTGACACGTTCCTGCCAATATACCCTTTATGGTTGAGGGAATTTGCATTTGTGTAATATTGGAGAGTTCAGTACTGGCCAGATAAGGGATCGAGCGTAGGGTTAGTTTTGAAAGTTCACAATGTTGGATGCTATAGATAAGGGCACGAAACTTAATATGTTAGGGGTGAGTGTGGGTGGGGTTAGGACGGATGAAGGTTTGTCCTTACCCGATCCTAAATGTTGTTCGGACCATTTTTCTGAACTCGGACCCGACCCTAGACTCGGAGTTAACTCGACCCTAAATATTCACAGGGTCGGCCTTTAAACCCGGACCTGACCCTAGACTCGATTAAATATAACGTATACTCATTTTACATAAAGTCTTCTAAATATTATTTATTAGTATGAATATGTAATTTGACATATAAAATAATATATGTGTATATATATTATTAAACATGTACATATGATGAAAAATTAGATAATCAATGATATTTTCGACCAAAAAAGTATAATTATTCTATATATATTTGAACAGAGACATATACAAACATTATTAAAGTTAGTTTACTGTTGTCCATGTTTGTTTAAGAACCTAACTAATTTCATTAAAATTGTGTTTCTTCTTCTATTATTCTTCAACCCCAAATTCACACCACTTTCAAAATGAGTTTCTTCCTAATTTGATATTCAATGAGTTAAATCAAACCTTAAAGTTAGTTTATTTTTCTCATTTTTGGAAGAAGAAAGTATTGATATTTGATAGGATGGAGAAATGATTTCCAGGATTAGAGTGAATTTAGGGAATTTTTAATTGAAATTTAATTCATTTCCATTTTAAATCATATCCATTGATTTTTTGTCTTGTCATGTGTCACCATCTTGTAAGTCATTGGCCTCTCCGGTCATTTAGAAGATCCACACTAGTAATATTACCAACCCTTTCAATGTTATCCCACAATTTAGATTTAGAATTCATCCTTCTTAAATTTCTCATATTTAGTGCCCACTAAATATGTTGTTTAATATTGATTGAAATTGAATATGTTGTCACAATATTTGATTCAGTGTATATTATTTTAACTTTAATATAATATTTTATTATTCTATTATTGCATATTATATATATATATATAATTAAAGTCAATTTTCAAAACATTCAATGATTTCCTTGGAACATAGGAATTTTTAAAATAATTTGTGAAGCAATCCTGACCTCTATCATTTTTTGTCTAATTAGGTTGTGTCATGGATGGGATCATTTCTAACTTACACAAACGTTTTTATGTCCATATTCGTGGAACAAGGATACCCAAAAGAGAACTCATAAAATCACACGTATATTTATATATTTTGCACATCCACATATAGTGCACGGTGGAATGATATGCAGGTACGGAACAAATATTTGTGGCCATTCATCTTCATAATGTTATTATAAATGGTTTGAATAAATGTAACACGTTATGAGATTAATGTTAATATATCATTCGTGTAAAATTAATTATTTTATTAATTAATCATTCATCAATACTATGAGGATGACGAGATCCCGATGAAGTATACATAGTGACAAATCTAAGGGATTGAATTGACAAAAAGGAAATTTGAAAAATATAGGTATATTTTATAATATTATTTTTTTGCAAACTGAGAGTTAAGAGTTGTTTACGTTATTAACATATTATTTGTTATTCATGTATTAATTAATAAATAGTCATTTACTCTTTAATAGAAATAAAGGACATAAATGATAAATATTAAAAAACTATAAGCTTCAAAATTTTAGCACGATAAAACCTAACGTTTTAGGGAAGAACAATAACAGACAAATAACTTTTTTTAGGTGTTTAATGTGGAGAATGTCCTTAGAAGGTGTTCCAACTAAATTGAATATAGCTCAAGGATGAGTATTAAGAGCTCAAGATCTACCAAGGCATGTTCTTTGTGATATGATGGAAGAACCAACAAATCATCATTTATTCTTCTCATGCTCTAAATTTTATGGGGTTTTAGCAAAAGCTATATTATTGGTTTGGTCTCAATTCAATTATTCTCAACGATGTTGAGAGTAATTTTCTGTCTCATACAAATTTGTTTTAGATGGAGAAAAAGGTTAAATAAATGTGGGTGTACATATGGTTCGCCAGTATTTGAACTGTGGTTGGTTAGGAACAAAGTCATTTTTTAGAACAATATGTTTAAACTTGATGAGGTAATGGATCTAATCTCTCTTCACTCTTGGAACATTCTCAATGATCACTTCTCTAGTTTCCATTATTGTTTTGTGGAATGAGTGTTGCACCCTGCAAATTGTGTTCTTGATTGTAATGTTTAAATGATTATGTGGATAGTACTATCACTTCTTATTTTCTCTTTTTATCTAACTGAATTATTGGTGATGAAAAACACTTCTTTTTTCTCGTACATGGTAACTGAATTAATCTGCTATTACCCTACAAGTATATAATTGTTAATAAAGAAAAAACATACTTAGAATTTTGATTTTTGATTGATCAATAAGTGACCACTTTGTGCAATGACATGATAATCTAAAAAGTATGAAGAAGCATATTCAAAAGTGGTTGATTGGAGTTAAAGTAAACTTACAGAATAATAGGTTAGTCTCTCACAGCTACGTTGTAGCTAAAAACAAAAACAAAAACAATGTTGCTCACACATAATTATAAGCATATAACATTATACATACAGTTTTATCATCTTAGTTTACCTTTCTTCTTAAACATCTACAGTACATAAACTTTTTTATACAGTACATACATACACTTCAATCCTACTTCACAGGTAGATTTGAGAAGGATATGAATCACGGTGATGCAGTTCCAGCACCTATATTGTTTTTATCTTGAAGTAAAATGTGTTTTTGTAATGAAAAGAAAGAATCACTTGCGAGCAAGAGACATATTAGTAATATGCTAATAGCATAGAATCCCATAAAAAAAAAAGACACAATATTAAGAATGTTGATCGCATATTTGGGACCGAAACCAACCATGCAAAACACTAACATATGCACATGATTTGCTTTCAAGTTTTAGTTAGTTGACTTGCTCATTCAGCCACTAGGAATATGTTGGCCCAATGGGGGGACCTTGAACATAAAATATGTGGTGAGATGTGGAGAATTATGATGCACTAACTGGTTATGGTTTTAACAATTAATTTGGCATGTGTTTTAGAGACTGGTTGGTTCTATTATTTTTGTTATCAATTATGAAAGCTAAGGAATAATAGAATAAAATGATGGGAATAGAAAAGTTGTGGTAAAATAGAGCTCAGATGTGCCAATTTTCAGCCCATAGGCTAGAGTGATAGACCCATCCATCACAATAGACACAAGAGTCTTCATAGCTCAATATGCACCAGCCGGGAATCGAACCCGGGTCTGTACCGTGGCAGGGTACTATTCTACCACTAGACCACTGGTGCTTTGATGTCTTATACGAAGATAGTTGTTTAGTAGTTTGAAAATAAAAACACACAATTTGTCAACCCCAAAACACCTGATAGTTGTTATTAGTACCTAATAGTTACATCGATTTTGTGTGGAAAGATTGATTTTTCGAGAAGACAACTTGGATAAGAAAAATGATATTATTCTCACCATATGTCATAAAATAATATTTTGCTTATTAATGATTGGTTTACAACTAACATGTTACCTTCTTATATGATAGGAGGATTTGTAAAAAAAAATGATCAAATAATACATCATTACTCTTTGGATAATATCCATTTTTAAATGCTTACACAAGGAATGTTCTCCGGTCTTCTTCTACCACAACTTATTTAACATACCTTACATGATATTTAGTCAAAACTCTATCATCCTTTTTCTCACTAAGTATTGCTTCCTCGCTGATTTATACCTAATCTTATAGGAGCCAAATATGTTATCTGGCTTCATGCATCATAGCCTTATGATTGGCCAAAACACGATAAATTTAATTGATAATATAAAACAACATAGTTTGTTGACTAATCAACAATATTTGGTACATGAAATATTTAGTCCCAATCTTATCTAAGATTATCACGGATAACCCTCTAAAGTTCCCTTAGAATTAGGGTAATGGCCAACAAAAGGAAATGTAAGTATGCCAACGGGGCCAGATTCATTAAATTCACAACTCAGCATTGCATATAAAACATGACGTTTGTTATTTTGTGCATCACTGATATATCTCCTTCTGCCTCTTATTTCATTCCAAGCATATCTACACATTGAAGCCTTCAAAATCAGGAGTACTAAGGTCATGCAACTGCATCTGACACGTGATTACATTCCAATGAGATATCTAATGCTTTTGGTATTACAGTTAAACTTAAACTACAGTAACATCCTCTTATACAACTTTATTAAAACCAGACCCATGATCGAACTGGTCTGCGTACTGGTTTATTGATTTACCTACTGAGTCACAAATTAAACAGCATTCAGGTTTACATACATATATATATATATATATATACATATATATATATATATATATATATATATATATATATGTACATACATATATATATATATATATATACATACATATATATATATATATAATGAAATGAATATACATCAATCTTATAATGGAAAAAATGGGATAAAAATTGAAAATCAAATAAGACAATAAATATTTTGGTTTGCACATTTTACAGAAATAGTTGTGGCCTAGTAGTAGACAACCTAATTAAGCAAGTGATTGTTGGATCAATCCCCCATGCCATCAATTTTGGTGGAATTGAATATTTTTTAAGATATTAGTCAACGCAGCACTTGCGGTCAACTGTGACATGTGCTGGTTTAACCGATCCTGTTTGCAGCGGTTCTACCCGATTCTTAGCGGGTTTGACCGGTTCTTGAACATATGCAGTTCAAGTGATCACCAGATTGGTCACTGGTCCAGTTTTCCTACTGTCCGATTTTAATAACACTGATATATACATCCCTAAATAATGAAAATAAAAACAAAAACAGGTTTATGAGAGGGAAAAGGTTACCGGAACATGCACTTTTGTACAAAAGACCAACAGGTGCAGGAAAATAGGGAATATGATGTCATAACACTTAATCTAGTTTAGTGTAGTTCCTTAGCATCTGAGTACTCAGCATTTATCTACTTTTTTGGTACTCACGTTCTATGTATTCACCAATCTCTGGAAGGAAAAAAAAACCCAGAGTTGAGAGGAGCTATCTTCATTTTTGGCACAAATGCACGTTGTTCTCAATTCTTAGTTTCTTACAAAATCGCTGTCCTTGGGTTGCACCTGCTGAAAGGTAGGCAGGTCATAATTGTTTCAAATTATTGACCACTACCGTTAATGCTTTTACATATTCCTTCACTGCCACTCAAAGAGAAAGTGGAGGAAAGTCGTCTTCATTCTTCAATCGATAAGCATCCACTCCGATCCTGAATCTCAAATGATAGACATGGCCTTAAAGGAAAGGAAAACTAGGAGAACAAACTATATCATATAGTGGTTTAAGCTCTTAAAGTTGCCAGTGATTTAACATCACCAATGATTTCTGTAGCAAAGAGTCAGCATCAATGGAGAAATTATATTACCTTTTGTGATCAACTACAGTCAATGAGTTAGACCTCTTCTCTGCCACCAATCCTATGTCAGGCGAACCACCAGAAGCAGAAATTCCAGATTTGAGATTGTTGTTCACTTCTATTCTTGGCGATCCATGAAGCTGAGGGCTCACAGAGCCAGACTCTGGTTTCTCAGATATGTAAGGAAAGCCATTGGCACGGCATGATCCCCACATGGAAGGCTGAAAGAAATAGGTTTCTGATGATCTTGCTTTAGCACTGCCAGGAGCAGGATATCCTTCTAGAGAAAGTTCAGAACTTCCTTCCATAGACAAATTCCACTCTTCTGGAGCTGGAGCAAAGCCATTGTTGCTAATGTGTCTCTGCGGCTGCCAGTGAGTACCAGGTACTTGGCTTCTTCCCCTTCCTGGCACTGGCTTACTATCCCTGTATGGGCGGGAACTCTGCAAAATTATGAGTTTAATAGCTAGATTATGACAGAAAATCTCACATTTATATGTAAATAGTCCAGAAGTATATGGATACCATAGTAGGGAAATATGCGCCTGTTCCTCGTAGTTTTCTCTTTTCTTCAGAACCAAAAGTGGCCATCGGCAGAGTAGAATGATTTACAAGGTAAATTTGCTGTCCAATAACACCGTTTGAATTCATCTGAGAATGAAGGCTGTGATTGATCTGTATATGTTGACGAACAGTTTCCCATGGATTCCTATTTTGTATCTTTGGAGACCTTGGAGGACTAGGCACCAGAAGTGGAGAAATAGTATAACCATTGCACATCCGACCATATTGTAGGTTCTGGATGTTACTGTCAAAATCCCCAGCAAGGTCCAATAGGGATTTTGAAGCTTCAGTGCCCACAGGAACACTAGTTATGTATCTATCACTATGAGAGAAGATATTTTCTGAGATATTAGCAGCATTTTCAAAAATGGTTGAGTTAAAAGATGGCATATTGTTTTCATCTTGTGATCTGAGAGAATTACTCACCGTAAAGTGCTTCTCTTTCTCATCACCGATAACAGAATTTACAGCTGTATCACTACAAGAAATCCTATTTTCAACTTTCCCGTCTGAACAGTATGATGAACTGTTAGTGCTTGTGACACCCAAGACTCCAGATGTTGTAACATTGTTAGAATCCCCACAAAGTTTATAACTTGGAATTACATTTCCAACCTGAGATGAGTCAAGTGATAACCCTGCCAAAGACGAGACATCTTTGACCAAGTATCTTTCTCTTTCATTTCTACTTTCAAAATTATGCTGTTTTCCATGTATCTGATCCTTTTTGGATCCAGTCGATAAAGACAATAACATATTGTCTTCAGAGCATACTCGGGTGTCTGATGAGCATGAAGAGTCAAAAAGTTGATCCATACTAGGAGTTTGAATGTCATTCCCTTGAGTACCTTCATGTCCATCCGGAGTGTTTGCAAAGAACATATTAAGCTCATCTGCTATTCTATCTTCTGGTAACATAAGAATCCAACCAAGTTTACGGGCACCATACTTAAAAGCACTGCGTATTCGGTAGAAGTTACCTGAAACAAACAAACAAATGTCATCAATATAATGTGAAATTCGGGAGGGGGGACAGATCATTAAACATAAACAGAAACAAAACAAAGCTATGACTATAAACTTCTAATAGACGCTAATTTGCAATCGCAGATCTTAAATGCCCTGATGTTTTACTCAGTTATCATTTCCTCTAACAACTAAAGTACATCCATAATAACTGTACTGGTGACTTGTCAGGAGAATTGTCTACCACTACAATTTCAGTCCTCATGAATACCTTCCAAAAAGTCATAGCCGGAGGACCGGTCAACATTAATACAAAAGGGAAGAAAAAAACTAGAAGGTCTGCAACTGGTTCTTTGAGATAGCCTTTCATAATTCATATTAAACATGAGTGGCAAGCTGGCAATATGAGCAACAAGCCATCAAGTCATTCCAAGGATGACTCAGTCACAAAACAAACAAAGATTAAGTATCAAGAGGTGAATCAGTAAATTTATGCCCTAAAGATGTCAACTAAGATAAAAGAGAACATCTTCATGATACATGATAACATGTTACAACTAGGAAAAGAATATCATCATAACCTAGCTACATAACGTTAAACACAGTTCAATAGTCATTCAGACTAACAGGATAACACTTCATACCTCTATTGACACTACGACCAAGGTTGTTGTTCTCCTTCAACGGATCAACGATGTTGAGATGCTTCTGGGGAAATGCACGCATGTTTGAATCAACTCCCCTTGAAGGTACTGAGAATGAATCCACACAGATTCTAATGAATTCTTCCGTCAGCATAATATTTCCTCCATTTTCTGACACCTCAACTTCACATAATAACAAAGAGAGAATCAGAATACAACCATGAAGCTACTTGATGATACTAAAACTAAACAAGTAAATAAATAAATTGCATACCTGCTATATCAGGGAGAGTAGATTTGCCAACTGGGCCTTTCAAACTAACACAATAATTTTCCCAATCAAATTTGCTGAAATAGTCCAAAAATCTGAAGAGAACCTAGAACAAAGGGTAAGAAGGCATAAATTGCTTAATAAAATAATGCATCACCAGCATCATGTGATGCAGAATTTATTTGATGGAGAACTCACTGCAAGTGGACCATCTAAGGATACATGATGAAAATGATGGAAGATATATAGAACCAGTGTTTCTAAAGCATATGTTGAAATCAGGCCATGGTGAGCACCCAGTATCCGACTCTCATAGTAGCACCAAGCCTTTATCAGGATAACGCTACGTTTGAAGAGGTGATCCTTTCCAACAAGTTGATCAACCTACAATAAAATCAGAACTAAGTTAACACCAAATAAAGCGGACATG